TAGACTATATTAATTAGGCTATGTAAGCTACCTTTTTTGTTTTAAACTAAACTATTGATCATAATCAAATAACATAATAACCTATTCCCTCAACATTCTACATTGTATAAACTTAAATCATACTGTATGTCATAGGTTTCCTGCATGGATCCAGACAGTTAGACTTAAAACAGTATGTTTCTTAGATATCCTTTGATATTTAAAACTAAAATTTACCCATGATTGCTGTCCATCAAATCGGCTCTAGAATAGATTTTGTGTACAAAAAATGGGTCTGTTTCATCCCGCTACCACCTGGTGGAAAATAAGCAATGACAAAAGAGGGTTTATCAAAACACTAAAGACCATTTTCCAACTGTCGTTATTGATTTGTGAAATGAGAACAACTATATTTTATTGTTTAGATCTACCCCTCAGTGGATCAGGAACTTTTTATGAATTCTGTCAAACTCAAAAGCCCATTTAGGCCCACCCAAGAGGCTATTCTTCTGCTTGTCAAACTGCAACTGCTGTTTTAAAAAATGGGAAAGGAACATTGTAAGGCCCAGCACTTAGCTAAAGGCTTTAGCATGACAAGAATACGTATTTTATTGTACAGACATTTTATGAGAGCATCTAGAAGTATGACTGACTGGAGGGATTTTCTCAAGTTCTTGGTTAAGTGAGCAACAGGTGGCTGTATAGAAGTCATGCATAGTGCCTGAAGCAACAGTGGAAATGAATGAATTACAGTATCTTTCAATCTTCATAGCCAATCGTTCACAACCATATACATTTTAACCTAGGATACTATATGACTGGAATTAAAACACTTCACTTTTTTGGATGTAAAAAACTAAAGTCGACTATTGAAGAATAAAAGTAGCATGTACCTAGATGACATAATAGGATCCAAATATGTTGTTATCTTAGGAAGCAATGTACTAATATGAATACAGTACATGCTTTTAACTTTAGGTAAAATCATCTACATATAATAGCTTTGGTATGCATGCAAGTTTTTTTGTTTTTTTTATGGGGAACTACGTGTTGCTTTAGTGATTTAAGGGTTTCCCTGAAATGAGGCATTACTACAGCCTCCCACAGAGAAGCTGCAGCTCACACTGACTGGTGATGCATGTAGGGACACTACTCATGTCAGGGGAGTATATTTCAAAATAAATGTTCTCCACAAGCAGTCTTGGCTTAAAACCATGGTCTAGACTCTAGACAGAGAAGTAGCAGCTAATACGAAGTAATATTATCTAGACATGCACTCTCTTTTTATGCTTCTAGTTCAGGGTTGCAAGCAGACTTGGTTAAGGGTGATAATGAAAGCAATATATTCACAGTATGAAATACAAAATGGAACAACATAGCAGTTGACAATGCAGCAGAGTTGTAGTAGAATAGTAAGTTAGTCATTGCAATATCTTTTTCAGCTCCAACCCTTATTATTATTTTTTTTTCTGAATCCTATAGCCATAAGTACCTCAATTATTCCAAACTAATGTACTCCAAAAAACATTAAATTGTCAAGCTGTGTGGTGATTGTACAAGTCTTACTAGTCTACACAATAAATCCACTGTATTGGCCTTATTCAAGTCTAGAATTTAACACTATTAAAACTCTATAAATCACTCTAGTTAGTTTTATCTGAGAATGTTATTTTACAGCTATAAAGTCCATTCAAACTAATGGTACACATAGAGTGGGTAAACACGAAGTTAGAACAACCAGAAATAATCTTTGATGTTTTGCTTTCCAGACATTTTTATTTAATTATTTTTCATTTTGAAACTCACTGTACAGAGTCTGAACATAAATTTTGATGTACAAATCTTGGAACTGCAATGCTTCTTTTAGCACTGTTGCCCTGCAATAATAAGTTGCTGGGTATGAATCCTCACCAAGGGTCATTGTGTGCTTCGTGATTTCTTCCTGCACATTCCTACTTTGGCCTTCTTTTCAAGTAAAAAATATGCATATTTGTTCAACTAGTCTTAGAAAGGATGTGTGGGTACATAACTATTTGTCATTCCACTTGTTTCTTCTGCATTTCTCTAGTTATGCTGCTCTTGTCACAAATATCCTAGTACAGACATCATTACAAAGTCTTAATGTAAGACATCTTTACTAACTTCCAAAGGGGGTATGATAAATTTGTTAGAATATAAATATAAATATAAACCTGGAACTGTCAAGGATTTTATTTCATAATATGATGCTTGTTCTCTATACTTGCTGTCTATAATCTAGACAGATAGGCAACTACATGAAAGGAGAACATCCAACCAAAACCAAGGCCAGCTCTTCAGAAATAAAATCTACAAGTTCAGCTAAATACTACTATAATTTTGCACAATCTAGATAATACCTGGAAATACAGGATTAAAAAGGTCAAATATTTAGCAAATATCCGAAATTGATCGTTGTAGTTGGTTGAGGACCCAAAATGCAGAGATGAGTATTTGCTGATTTAATGGCAAGGAGGAACAAAATCCAGGAACAAAATGCAAAAAAACAAAAACCAGGAGACATCAAGGGAAAACACATATGAGGAGCCAGTTAACAACAAACCAGCAAAGAATAACTGATCAGGAGGTGTATATGGGAGACAGAAACAATTCTTATCTGATAGGGAGCAGGTGTAGACAGAAGTAACTAGAAGGAGCTAAGGAAAAGGAGACTGTCAGAAGGCAGACACTAATTAGATACAACACAAAATTGAAAAGAAACCAATGAACAAGAAAACACAGAATAAAATAAATCAAAGTGGAACTGAAAACTTAAAAAGAAACTCAAACAAAAGACCACATAGGGCACAACCTTAACAGCTATGCATGTCAGGTTTGTCTTTGTAGGAAGTATTTATATTTAAGGACATCATATCACATATATCCACCATATTATAATGCTGGGTCTGATTCATTAAAAAAATAATAAAGTATAATATGCTTATAACCTAGTATAAGGTGCAGGCTTTTCCCAATTTAAATGAAGTACTTAAATTCTGTTTTCATAAAGTACTGTAATTGTCTGTCGAGCCAAAAAACTTTAGAAATAATTACAGGTTAGAGCCTGGATGTTTAGGGATAGTACAATCTCAATGTATATGCCATGCTGGATCTTGGTGTATGACTTGTCTCCGTTATGTGTAGGAAAAACTTATGAAACATCCTAGATAGGTGGTCTCTCCATCTCAGGGCATTAAAGAGACACACACATTGTTAAACACACACCTTTAGATTGGCAAGCTAACCTAAAATGCATCTTTTTGTTGGTGCAGTTTTTTTTTCATCAGAAATTGGAAAATCTCACCCTTTCATTGTTTTGAATCAAAACATAATATTGGCAAAAATATTGGTTTTCTGGCAGAAAACATCTTGGCTTCTGTTATGTGAGTTTGGAAAATGCTTCAAGGCCTTTCAGAGACAAAAACTCTTGAAAAAGTACAGATACCACTTGCATGCATTTATTAGATATTTCTTTTCATCTCAGTACTTGGATCTTTGGCCTAAATCTAATGAGTCCCTGCTCCACTAATCAGCAAAGCTACCCTTTTCCAAATATATTTTAGGGCCAAACCTAAATGCATGGGCTTAACAAATGTTCAGTGGCTCATGCTAAAAACCTCATCCACACCAACAAAGCCAGAGCTAACCACATAGCACTTATGGGGTATTAAAGTCTTAGCAATGTCTCCTGATACCTCCACTATAGGCCACTTAATACAAGGAGACTTCATGTTGAGCTAAACAGTTCAGGGGGAGCTATCTCATAGAATCAGTGTGCACACAAGCCTTTCCTCATGACACAGCTCAAATTTTCATATAAAACAAACTGCTGAGAAAAAAAAATATTATAACTGACCTTTGGGTCAGTATGCACAGGCTGCCGAATTTCAAGATTTCACTTGTTTCCTGAACAACTGTATTTACCTCCAAAGCTTAGGGTGACAATAAATGCCTTTGAAACACCAGTCGACTTGTAATTAAGAGGAATTACATTTATGAGCTTTTGATTTATAATGATTTTGTAGTTGTTTCTTACTTCCTTCTGACTTTCTTCCTTATGCCAACATTTAACATACGGATCACTAATGAGCACCATAGACTGTCATGCATATAAGTGTGAATACATTGGAAAGGGTTGCATTCCACAGTATTATATGCCTCTTAGAGCAAGATTCTCCAACGGCAGAGTAGGCGGAAGAAATTGAAGAAGGAATAATTACAACAATCACTACTTTTATTTTATCTCTGCCTGGCACAAATACAGTGCACTCGCATATGTGCACAAAGAATATAATAGCAAGGGGAAGGTCGAAAAAACTGTTGGCACTAATCACAGTTCTGCCAATGAAATAGGTGCCATAAAAGCAGGAACCATGGCATAATATATGCTTAAAAGACACTAACAAATGCTGCACTTTGTGCCAGAACTGTCAAAGATACACACATAAGCACACACCCTCTCCCACAGACACAGAAAGACTGTGTTTAATCCTCACTATGGTACAAAGAAACAATAGTGTATCTAAAGCTGGCAAGGAGCTTAAGAAGAAAAATCAGGCGCAATATGTGTAAAAGATAAGTCTGATAAGACCTTATTTTAAGATCATACCATATGCTGCCTTTATAGCATTTCTAACAAGAGTTTTTTTTAGAAGGCATATGCCGAACACTAAAAATTAACTTGAAACCGTGGAAAAGTTTGATGAAAACCTTAAAATAAGGGCGTAGAATCACAAAGCTATGCTCAGTTTTCAGGAAAAATATACAACCATACCTTGAGACTAATTTTAATTTCTTACAGAACACATTGATAGTAAAAATATGAGTTTATTTAAACGACTTTTGCATAGTTTTACAAGAACAACCAAAAAGCTTGTGCTTTGTCTTTTATTTAAAATTCACCTCAATTATAGAATAACATTGGTGTAAAAAAGTCAAAACATGTTTAAGAAATCTTTCTTGTCAGCTAAAGTACAAATATGCATATATAGTGTATACCCTACCTTTTTTTATTTTCTGCCTCCTCCCCCCTCCTCAGTGATGTTTAAACAGCTCTGTGACTTTCCTTTTCTGTGTCCTTTCTGGAAAATCCCGGGATGCAGATTTTCCCAGGTCTGACAGGTGAGCTCGCACTAGAAAGATTTCAAGAGATGTTGCAGATCTTGTACTTTGTGCAGCTCCTCCTTACTGTAGTTGCGCCACTTGGTTCACATCAGACACATCTAGACATAGAAATATGAAAAAATGGAGATATAAAAAGAGCCCCATTTAATACAATTTTAATTTTTGTAACACTGAAATGCAGCAAGAGACTTCACAAGTCTTATTCTTGAGAACTTCTTTTATGTTTCCTGTTGTGCGGTTCCGTCAGGTTTAAGTTTGGCCTTTTCATTAAATTTGTTCTAATTTCAGCAGAAATATTTTGTTTTTGTAAAATCTCAAATTTTTTCTAAAGCTACTTAAGTAACAGAACCTGAAATTTCCATTGCACTGTAAATAATTGTATAAATATTGGTGTTTATCCTGTGTTAATTACAAGCTCATTTAAAATATATCCTACTGCACATATTGAATATATAGATAAATAAAGTAGAACAGACATAAAAATATGATACAAAGCAAAACTGCAATTAAAAGGATGCTGGATTCTTTTATGGGTAAAGACTAAAGATATGTAACAGTCAGTCTAATTTAATACAAAAGTTAGTTTGTATTAAGTTAATTGGATTAATGTGTCTTTTCCTTCTGTTTGCTTTTCCTGCTACACATTTATCCACACTTCTGCCAACATGTTTAATTAAATTACCACCAAGAGGGCAGAAAACCAGAATAAGAATAATGATGACAATTACAGCTGATGATGCATCAGAAGTCTACAAGGTGGCAGATGGCTTCACTGCCAGTGGTACTGTATAAAATGAGGCGCTACCTATCTTCTGTTTCAATCACAGTGCATAAGACCTGTCTCCAAACACCTCCGGCCATCAGCACACAACACATCTGCTATCTATGAACAATTCCTGCAAATAACTGTCAGAGAAAATGACACACACAGTCCACTTCTTTGTCAGGCTATCTCTCCGAGGCTCGCTCTTTTAGTTATTTTTCTCTGGATATGTCTCTTTCTGTCCTTTTCCCTATCCCATCAGCACCTTCACCCGCTCTGAGCACACAGAGTCTAAATCAGTTAGGAGAAGCCTACCCAGCAGCCTCAAAATGACTCAAACATGCATTTTCAGTATGGGCAATAATCTTCTTTTTAATGTTATAAATTTACTTATGTTTGAATTTCATGATGGACTTTCATTTTGTATAGACAGAGTCTATACAAAACAAAATTTCATATTGTACAGCTTTTGTGATATTGCCATTTCTTAAAGTGCTGCGTTGATCAAATGTAAACAGTAGGGGAGAAAAAACCATGGTGCAAAAAACGCACTGAAATGGAAGTTCAGAGCATTAAATATATATGGTGCAAATAAGCAGTGTTTTGGTTTGGTGTTGTCAGTGTGATGCAGAGCCTGTGACATGACTGAGAGTTTTCTCAACAGTTCAGCTGTCTGTTGGCAGTGGGGAAGTAGCTGTTTCAGAATCTGCTGGACCTGCATCGAATGCTGGTAAGTCTCTTCCTAGAGGGTAGCAGGGAGAACAGTCCGTGGTGGGGTTTTGAGGGGTCATTGATGATGTTACGGACTGAAGACACTCAGCGTTGGGTTGAAATGTCTTTTATGGAGGGAAGAGGAACCCCGATGATCCTCTCCTCAGCACGCTTCTCACTCTCTTCCAGTCTGAGGTGCTGCAGCCTCCACACCACATAGTGAGACAGCTGGTCAGAACCCTTTCTATTGTGCTTCTGTAGAAAGTCGTTAGGATGGGTGGGGGCAGGTGGGCGCTCCTCATCATCGGTAGGAAGTACATGTGCTTTTGTGTGATCCAGCAATAATACACTCAACAATATAGAAAGGGGTTTTTCTTTATTTACATAAAAGTATAGTCATTAATAGATGGAAACTGTTTTGGACTTGCTCCTCAGCCCTCACTCAACACTTTAAATAGCCAAATGCTACATGATGCACATTAAAAGTTCCAAAACATACTGTTATTGTTACCAATCATACAACATCATTCAGACATAAAAATGGAGTTTTTAATAAAATGGGGTTTTGTCAACTATTTTTATTTCTGCCAAGAAAGTTAGGCTTGTTAGTTTTGAACAGACTTTCCAGGTTTGATTTTCTTTTCTCACCATTTGCCGAAACCCTCAGTAACTAAGAAGTGTAAAACTTGTAATATGAACCTAGGTTACAGTGATTTGTCTTTGTGACACACTGGTGGATGGAGATGTGCAGTGATGGACTTCTTTTGTTGCTGAGTTGACACATGCCCATCTTCACGTCTCTCTACCCTCTAGTCTAGAAACAAACACCCTTACTCACAGCGAGATGAAGTCAGTAGTTTCCAAGGGCCCTTTCTGAATGTCTAGGTCACATAATCGGGTTACATTATCAAGAGCTATTCTGTAGGTAGAAACAGGATCACTTTAGACCTCCTAGTATGGTCTCAATTATATATATTATGTCAGAATGCAAAAGTAACTTTTTTTTGTAAATAATGCCTTATAAAGACAATTTCTATGTTCTATGTTATGATGTTAGCTGATTTCTAAAGTGGCATCACAGTTCTGAGTAGGGCTAAACAGTACTACAAAATCATGTCATGGCAACACAATCATGGGAATCATTTTACATAGTCTGCTATTCTTCAGTTGCGCTTCTCTGTGTGCAAATTTCAGCATTTTAGATTATATTTTCAGCTGTGGGACATTACTGCTGTAAACTCCACCCCACAGGCTAAAGAAGCTCATTGGCAAGCAAAGTGTAAAGTTATGGCTCTTGGAATATATTTAAATAAAATAGCCACAATCTTAACCTATTTACATGATTAAAATAGCACATACTGATATTGAAATAAAGATCTAGATTAGTAAATTGATAGGTCTAAGCACGGAGTATCATTTTCAGAAAATTCTTAGATTAGTCTTAAAGTGGGGAGTGTTGGCCTAGTGCTTAGAGCAGTGCACTTGTGCTCTGAGAAGGTTGCAAGTACCCCGTTCAATCCCCACAACCTCCACTCTGGGTTCCTGAGCAAAACACTTAACCCCTGAATAATCCCCGGGTGCTATGCAATAGCAGCCCACTGCTCGCCAAGGGGATGGGTCAAAATGCAGATAACAAATTTCCCCATTGTGTTACAATAAAGGGATTAACATTACACAAGTCAATCTTAGGATAGTTTCTTTTTTTTTCTCTTTTTTTGCTTTCCAGACAAAAAGTTGAGAAATATTAACTGTATTAGTGTTCCAGCTAAGAAATCTTACTAAAATCTTAAAAAGTCAGAGGTTTTCACAAATCCTAATTTAGGAAACAATGATTGCTGTTTTGTAGCCAAAGATATCCCTTACACTTATCTACAAATGTGAATTGTTGAACAAGGAATCTCTCCTCCAACACTCACCTAAAAACACTCAAGACTTTACCCCAAAGTGACACTTTGACTTTTATGGATTAAAGAAAATATATTTTAGGCTTTAAAGAACTACCAATCAAATGTTTTTTTAACAGTCAAAAAAACAATATGCCAGACAGTAGTTTATTTAGTTAGAAAAGAAAAGTTATCCTTGAAATCTTTTTTAGTTGAATAACATATTCATTTTTATGACATGGTGAAGAATGAAGTGATAAATAGGCAGTTGTAACATAAAGCACAAAGAGTGTTTCCCCCAGTTATTAATAGCAAGAGCCATTCGCTGTGCTTTAATTTGTCCTGTTAGTGTCTAGAGTTTAATTATTAAAAGCTGCAATTATCCTGCCACTCATTACTTATATTCATTAAATAAGGTCAGGTAGAAAAAGTGTTATATAGTTTTAACATTGTGGATTTTTTTACTTATTACATTTGCCAAGAATATTAAAGTAAGGGGGTGACAACGATTTCATTCTTTATACCGTACGTACTTGAGCTTGTGAGTTAAAAAGTGTAACAAAAAAAAAAAGAAATTTAAAAGGTAATACTAGAAAATTCTGAAGAAAATTTTGGAGATGCCTGCCACTTGGTACCTAATTCTTGGACTGGTACTTAAGACTATATGGGGTTAGTTGGGTTAAGCTCATATAAGGTAAGAGCATAAAACCTTGTGGCAACGTATTTGACCAACCTGGTGTCAACTGGCCACTTAAGTCCCCAAACCTGGTGATGAGTGATTGAGTGAAAAATGAATGCTTTTATTTTGTAGGATACTTTATGTCTTATTTTGAAAGTCTGGCATAGTGGTGTGTTAAGTTTAAGGTTAGACCCAGCAATGTTATGTAATTAATTTTAAATTCTTAAATCACACTATAACCCTTTTATCAGGTTACTTACATTTAGTTTTTACTATTGAACAGGGGTGACTTTATTTTGAAAACGTTCAATAGGACCAGTCCTGACAAGGCTTTTTTAGTCTAATTTTTGAAAATGATTGAGTTTGTGTCAATATGCTTCAACAAACTGCCGTGTACAATGCTGAGGCTTTTATTTGTAGAGTACCCAATGTCTTATTTTAAAAGTCTAGCAGGGTTGATGGTTAAGGATAGGGTCAGACCCAGCAGAGACATGGAATCCATTTCTAATTGTTTAATCACTCCTTTTCACTGTTATTAGGTGAATAGAAGCTTTATTAAAGTTGAAATGGGAGCCTTTTACTTTTAAATCCAACTATCCAGTGTTAACGTCCTTGAACTAAACTCTCACAGGTGTTAGAATAAGGTAGATCATACATCCATCCATGTCAGTACGTCATTTGGGAAAATATTTAGAGAGATTGGAAAAATAGTTTGCCACACCTGCATTTCTGCTGGCTGCCTCATCTAGTTCAAATCAAAATCCCTCCAAATTAACTGACTTCTGCACAGTCTGAATGGGTTTTAAGGATAACCATAAATATGACAGTAATGATAAAATCAGTGTGAGAAAGCAGAGGCTCCTGTCTACAAACTGATCAAAAATTAAGGTAGGAGTGTTGCAAAAAATCGTTAGGCATGATTTCTCATCAGAGATCTTTCCCTCTCCACTTTGTCGTGATCTAATACTCTCTGGATCTGTTTTTTTTTTTTCTCAAACGTTGTTGTGCTTAACGTATGATTTTTGGAAAATCAAAGCGCTTATGGATATACAGTTTTGAGAA